AATTGGGCGCGTTGGCATGCGTTACCTACAAGTGGCATGCGTGAGTACAAGCCTAACCCCTTGGTTTGCACAGGTGCCTCATAGTGCGGTGGGACTCATTCTCACGCATGCCACTCCGTCGCCCCTGATTTCCCGGAGTTGCGCGTTTATTCCCGAAGTCCATTGGGTCTAAAAAACCTGGGATCCCATTTTGGGCGCGTTGGCATGCGTTACCTAGAAGTGGCATGCGTCAGTACAAGCCTCATTCCTTGGTTTGCACTGGTGCGTCAGGGTGAGGTGGGTCTCACTCTCACGCATGCCACTCCGGCGCCTCTGATTTTCCGGATTTGCATGTCTATTCCCGAGATCCCTTGGGTCTAGTGAACCTGGGATTCCATTTTGGGCGCGTTGGCATGCGTTACATAGAAGTGACATCCGTGAGTACAAGCCTCGCCCTTTAATTTGCACACGTGCCTTATAGTGCGGTGGGACTCACTCTTACCCATGCCACTCCGGCGCCCCCGATTTTCCGGAGTTGCGCGTCTATTCCCGAGGTACCATGGGTCTAATGAACCTAGGATTTCATTTTATCAGCGTTATCATGCGTTTAGTAGAAGTGGCATGCGTGAGTAAAAGCCTCACCCCTGGCTTTGCACTTGTGCCTAATAGTGCGGTCGGACTGACTCTCACGCATGCCACTCCGGCGCACCTGATTTCCCGGAGTCTATTCCCGAGGTCCCATGGGTCTAGTAAACCTGCGATTCTATTTTGAGCGCGTTGTCATGCCTTTGGTAGAAGTGGCATTCATGAGTAAAAGCCTCACCAGTTGGTTTGCACTTGTGCCTAATAGTGTCGTGTAACTCACTCTGACGCATGCCACTCCGGCGCCCCTGACTTCCCGGAGATGCGTGTCTATTCCCAAGGTCCCATGGGTCTAGTAAACCTGGGATTTTATTTTGGCCGCGTTGTCCTGCGTTTGGTAGAAGTGGCAGGCGTGAGTAAAAGCCTCACCCCTGGCTTTGCACTTGTGCCTAATAGTGCGGTGAGACTGACTCTCACGCATGCCACTCATGCGCCCCTAATTTCCCAGAGTGGCACGTCTATTCCCGAGCTCCCAAGGGTCTAGTGAACCTGGAATTTCTGTTTGGCCGCGTTGTCATGCGTTTGCTAGAAGTGGCATTCGTGAGTACAAGCCTCACCCCTCGCTTTGCACTTGTGCCTAATAGTGCGGTGGGACTGACTCATTCGCATGCCACTCCGGCGTCCGTTATTTCTCGGAGTTGCACGTCTATTCCCGAACTCCCCTGGGTCTAGTGAACCTCGGATTCCATTTTGGCCGCGTTGTCATGCGTTTCCTGGAAGTGGCATGCGTGCGTGCAGGGCTCACCCCTTCATTCGCACATGTGGCTAATAGTGCGGTGGGGCTCACTCTCACGCATGCCACTCCGGCGTCCGTCATTTGCCGGAGTTTGCGCGTCTATTGCCGAACTCCCCTGGGTCTAGTCAACCTAGGATTCCATTTTGGTCGCGTTGTCGTGCGTTTCCTAGAAGTGGCATGCGTGCGTGCAGGGCTCACCCCTTCATTCGCACATGTGGCTAATAGTGCGGTGGGGCTCACTCTCACGCATGCCACTCCGGCGTCCGTCATTTGCCGGAGTTGCGCGTCTATTCCCGAACTCCCCTGGGTCTAGTCAACCTGGGATTCCATTTTGGCCGCGTTGTCATGCGT